GTCTTTCAGTTTTGTGCGTGATTTCCTAGCGTTATTCATTACTCATTTATTGATAATTACTCATTTTTTCCACCCCGTAAAGGGATATTTAACTAGTCGATGGAATAAACTAACCTCTTGACATCGATAGGTTCCTTTTTCATTTCAGACATTTTGAAATTCTGAGCTAATGTTTTGGCACAGTCTTTGAAAATACTCATGAGCTGTTAATACAAAAGAAACACATATTAATCAAGAAGCATTTCAATGAAGATTTTTATACAACTATTTAATTCACTTTTAATTTTTTTTCTTCATAAAGCTTACTTCATACAATTGAGGTGAATCGTTTTTAAAGGCGAAAAACAGTAAGACTGATTTGAGACAAATTAAAAAAAATTCATACTTCAGAGACATGAAATGAGGTTCGACATCAGGAATAGTTTAATTAATTTAATAAATAGTGTAATTCATTTGATTTTTGTTGGAAATTATTTTTTCAAAAAATGACTTTTTTAAAATTTGATTTTTCAGGAACTAAACGACTGATTTCGCTGAATTTTTGTATTTTGCCAACTAAACTTAGACTGCAAAAAAAATACATTTTTAAAAAGACGTGAAAATTTATATACCTTATAATTCAAATATTCTTGACTATTATTAAATAAAATCATAAAAATTATTAAAAGTTATTTTTTGCATGATATTATAATCGGTTAAACAAGTTTTATAATTGGTAGCACAAATTTTTCGATTCGCTTAAAAAGTTCTCGAAATATTGCGAAATACACAAAAAGTAAAATAAACATTAAAGAGTCCAAACTTCGGTCCGCTCTCTGAAGAACTATTGGAACTATATTTCCTAGATTGCAGCTACCCCCGATATTTTGGGGATCAGAAATCCAAATCAGTCGATAAAAAAGTATGATTCAGGGAAGTAAGTTTTTTGTGTCTGATTTCGTAACTTAAAATATCGTTTGTACTATTCAATTAGCATAATTGAGGCCGTAGAACCATTAAGATTGAGTCCGAGGACGTAAAGTGTAATCCCTTTATTTATTTGTTTATTTATTTATTTGCGCACTGTTTTTTGGAAACTATTTTCAAATTATCCATTCAATTCCAAGCTTTCTTCCTACGCGCGTGGCTTTGTTTCATTTCTTTCATCAGACGGTGAAATACATGTACAGTATACTCTCGATAAAGTTGAAGGCAAGCTAAAAAAATGTCGAGATAGCGAGTTTAAAAGACAACAAGTTCAGAACTAATTATGTTCTAAAAATAAGTTGGAAAATAAGTTGAATATTACTCTAAAAAGTAGAATCATGAAACATGAGAATAACTATTATTAAATATGTATGTAACGATTGTCGACTATAAGACGAAATGCAACAATGGTAATTTTATTTTTAAAAGTAAGAGCATTTTCTATTTCGAAAAAAAAAAATTTCGGTGCAGCAAGGTTTTGAGAAGAAACCCTTCGACATAGGATTTCAAATGAACAATTAGGTGGATATGTAATGCCAAGGGGGGAAATAGTTTTTTGACATAACAAGGTTTTCGAGAACCTTATACGTATACTGAAACGTTTCGAGTATGTTGCATTTTGTAATATAATTTTGTTTTAGAATTGTGTATTCATTCATTTTCTTTAAATAGTACTAATAAGTTTTTTTTTGTTGTTGTTATTGTTGTAGTCTGGGGATACTACAAATTTCTCATTTAATATATTAGGTTAAAATGCCAGGAGGGTTGTGAGTTCTATCCTGACAGCCGACTAAATAACTGGCGTACATAAGTAGCAAGGTGCACGTTAAATCTGACATGGCTTATTGGGGTGGTGTGGAAGCTCGCCAAATTCCGACGTGGCTTATTATCTGTGAAAGCTCGCCAAAACTGATTCTTTAATCGAAAATTATCAACCCATTTGTTGATAATTTTCTAAAATTATATCAACATATGAGTTTTCAATAGTTTTGTTCTTTTCCTATGATTGATTAAGATTATGTTATACAAACATTAACAAATTATCAGTGACGTGGTCATTAATAATCGTTTGCCACTAATAAAAATCAGATTCATTGCGAGAGTTACACGGGTGTGTGCGTGCCAATGTCCTGTTTACCCGAACCTCTTGAAGATGGTGTATCATTGTCCGGTATACTCTACACTTATATTTATTCCTAATATCCTCGAATTAACTATTGCTATACTAATAGCCAAATAAGTTCATTAAGCTAAATGCCAGTTTCACGAGAAAAAAGAGCTTGATTGATTGAATAAAGACATCGTTGTTTTGCTTTGATTATAAACTTGGTTACATTTCTTTTTAAAGAATATGCACTTAGAAAGAAATTCTTGTCTGTTGAAGACCTCACCACCTCCTATCTGGTACAAAGCAACACCGCACAAACTTGGACAATTTTCCGACTGAACTTAGACATTTAGGAACGCTTAACATTAGGACATTTAGTAAAAATATGTGGCTGACAGGTATCACTTACCCTTTTAAGTTTTCCAGTTGTGAAAGTTGGAGTAATGATGGTCCTTACTCTCTTCCAATCTTCACCCTCTAGACTTGGGAGCATATTGTCTCCGATTTTGTCACCAGTTATGAAGGACTGAAACATACATCATAATGAATAGTTTAAGGCAGGGATAGCGAACCAATGACATGCGTGCCATTTATGGCACTCGACACGATATTTTGGGCACGCCACCGATCACATTTGTTATTACGCTATGAATTGTCATTACACAAATGTTATTACACTATGAAGCATATGCAACAATTAAATTAAAATTCACAAAATAATAAACAATTATTAATAAAAAAATTAATAATTAATTCTAGAAAAAACAATTAATAACCGTAAAAAACAAGCTAACAATAAGTAACTAGCAAAAAAAAATTTAACAGTCCTGCTTAAACTAATATCTTACAACCTAATCTAAGTTATTTGTCATCTAATCTACAACAACAGAAGTCACACTGATGTTACTTTAAGTTGAATAACGCGTGTAACTGAGACATTGCGAAATGTTTTTTTTTCAATGTAAATAAAGAGTTTTGAGTTGATAGTATTTAGTATTNAGTTTTAATGATCATTCGAATTAATATCTCTCAATTTGTTTCATCGTTTCACCAGCAGTTTTAATGATAAATATTTTCCAGCAGTTTTAATGATCATTCGAATTAATATGTCTCAATTTGTTTCATCGTTTCATCAGCAGTTTTAATGATCAATATTGTACATTATTTTAGGAATGTTGTATCTTTTATAAATAGGCTCATAAGCAAATTTGACGTAAAAAATTTACACACAAAAAATTTATTGTTAAAAATAAACAATTTTGACGTTGTTTTTCTGAGTATAATCTGAGGTCCATTTTTTTTAATTTGTGAAATTTAACATTTGAAATATAAATTTGAGATCCAATATTTTTTCACATAATTAATTTTAGAAACCATTTCAAAAACCTCCTATGTTAAAATGTCCACTGAAATAAGGAAAAGATAAGTTCTTTTTTAAGGTATCCAACTGGTAAGGTATCTATATTTAAATCTTAGTTGATTAGCTTACCTAAACCCTTTAAAATTTTATTCCCGATTTTTAGAAATGAAGCTTCAGTTGTGTTTTCGTATGTTGACAAACAAAACCGAAACCGGAACAAAACTCAAGAAAACGAAACTAAAATGTTTCTTGTTTTGCTTTGAGTGTTGGAACCCTTATTATTTTGAATAAATTATATTCTTAACACAAATAAAGAATTTTAATTTGCGAATTATTTTCTTGCATTTTAATGCATTTTCTGAAGATAGTAGGTTTTGTGAAAATTTCTTTATGCAAACACACAATACAAAAAATTTTTATTATAGAATTCTTTAATATTTTGAAAGTAATTTGTAAAATATTAGAAAATTTTTTAAGCTAAAAGCTAAGGTCTAGGTTTTAACTTATTATTTTTATCACGCCTTAAGTAATAATATTTATAAATTTTTCTTTAAAATTTAGATGAAAAATTTAAAAACAAAAAAACTTTGAAATAGAACTAAATACATTGTTTAAAAATTTAACATTGTAGTTAGTTCTATTTCATTTTATTTTTAAACAAATTTTAATATTTTTAGTTCAAGTCACAGATAATCACATTATTGATCTAGAAAACAATATATTTTGAAATTTATGTATTACGGTTTGTTGTAGAACTGTTAGCGTGACATGAAAAATAGTAGTTTTTAAGTTCAAACTTGTCCTTTTTTTGAAAAACATTTTATAAATTTTTTAACTTTACACTAAATTTATAATTTTAAAACCCCTGATTACCTAACATGAAATTGAAATTTTAATTGAGCCTTTTTAAAAAAAATTATGTCAAAACTAGTCGGATACCTTCAAGAATGGAGAATTCAAGAGTCTGGAAGAATTCAAGAGTTTCTCAGAAAAACTGCATTAAAAGTGTCATTAATTTAAGAGTTTCTCAGAAAAACTGCACTAAAAGTATCATTAATTTAAAAGTATCTAAAAAAACTGCAATAAAAGTGCCATCCAAATAACGTTTAACTTTAAATATATAGACTGGTAATTTATTTACAAAAAAGTTAGTAGTAAAACATATACCATAACAAGAGGAATAACAAATTAGTTATGAGGTAAAACATCAAATTTACATTGAGATCCTGTGGACACAATGCCTAGAAAAATGGTTTAGAACTATTGGCTTTGAGCAATAACATCATTCCAAAAGATGTTGAATAGATTTAATCGTTATTTTGATGGAATGAACTACTAAACACGTGTTTTTCTAAATCTAATAAAGTAAAGCCACCGAAAAGGACAAACATTAATAATAAATAAAAAAATAAGGAATTGTTTTTAACTTTATTAATTGCTTTGGTATGGTATGTGTCTTTCAGCTTTGTGCGTGATTTCCTAGTGCTATTCGCTACTCATTTATTGATTGTTTAATTTTTTCCACCCCGTAAGGGGATATTTAACTAGTCGATGGAATAAACTAACCTCTTGGCATCGATGGGTTCCTTTTTCATTTCAGACATTTTGAAATTTTGAGATAATGTTTTGGCACAGTCTTTGAATATACTCATGAGCTGTAAATACAATAGAAACACATATTAATCAAGAAGCATTTCAATGAAGATTTTTATACAACTATTTAATTCACTTTTAATTTTTTTTCTTCATAAAGCTTACTTCATACAATTGAGGTGAATCGTTTTTAAAGGCGAAAAACAGTAAGACTGATTTGAGACAAATTAAAAAAATGTCATATTTCACAGTCATGAAATGAGGTTCGACGTCAGAAATAGTTTAATTAATTTAATAAATAGTTTTAATTCCTTTGATTTTTGTTGAAAATTACTTTTTCAAAAAACGACTTTTTTAAAATTTGATTTTTCAGGAACTACACGACTGATTTCGCTGAACTTTTGTATTTTGCCAACTAAACTTAGACTGCGGAAAAAAATACATTTTTAAAAAGATGTGAAAATTTATATACCTTATAATTCAAATATTTTTGACTATTATTAAATAAAATCATAAAAATTATTAAAAGTTATTTTTTGCATGATATTATAATCGGCTAAACAAGTTTTATACTTTTCAGCAAAAATTTTTCGATTCGTTTAAAAAGTTCTCGAAATATTGCGAAGGACACAAAAAGTAAAATAAACATTAAAGAGTCCAGACTTTGGTCCGCTCTCCTGAAAAACTATTGGAACCATATTTCATAGATTGCAGCTACCCCCTATATTTTGGGATTCAGAAATCCAAATCAGTCGATAAAAAAGTATGATTCAGGGAAGTAAGTTTTATTCAGAGAAGTAAGTTTTTGTGTCTGATTTCGTAACTTAAAATATCGTTTGTACTAATTAATTAGCATAATTGAGGTTACCTCCCTAGCTCTAGAACCATTAAGATTGAGTCCGAGAACGTAAAGTGTAATCCCTTTATTTATTTGTTTATTTATTTATTTATTTGAGCACTGTTTTTTGGAAACTGTTTTCAAATTATCCATTCAATTCCTACGCGCGTGGCTTTGTTTCATTTCTTTTATCAGACGGTGAAATACATGTACAGTACTCTCGATAAAGTTGAAGGCAAGCTAAAAAAAATTTCGAGATAGCGAGTTTACGAGATAACAAGTTCAGAACTAAATGTGTTCTAAAAATAAGTTGGAAAATAAGTTGAAAAATATATTCTAAAATACTACTCTATAAAAAAGAGCCATGAAACATAAGAATAATTATTATTAAATATGTATGTAATGATTGTTGACTATAAGACGAAATGCAACAATGATAATTTTATTTTTAAAAGTAAGAGAAAAATAAGTATGCGTTAAATAGAAAATAATTGATTTACTGTGCTTTTACATTGCGATTTGTGAAAAACGTCATTTTCTATTTCGAAAAAAAAATCGCCACAGCAAGGTTTTGAGAAGAAACCCTACGACATAGGAATTCAAAATGTAATGACAAGGGGGAAAATATTTTTTTGACTTAACAAGGTTTTCGAGAACCTTATATAGAGTATACTGAAACGTTTCGAGTATGTTGTATTTTGTAATATATTTTTATTTTAGAATTGTGTATTCATTCATTTTCTTTAAATAGTACTAATACGTTTTTTATGTTGTTGTTGTTATTGTTGTAGTCTGAGGGTACTATGAATTTATCATTTAATATATTAGGTTAAAATGACAGGAGGGTTGTGAGTTCTATGCTGACAGCCGACTAAATAACTGCCGTACATAAGTAGCAAGGTGCACGTTAAATCTGTCGTGGCTTATCGGGGTGGTGTGGAATTTTTGAGAAAACAGTTGTTCACGTCTGTGAAAGCTCGGCAAAACTGATTCTTTAATCGAAAATTATCAACCCATTTGTTGATAATTTTCTTTAATTATATCAACATATGAGTTTTCAATAGTTTTGTTCTTTTCCTATGATTGAATAAGATTATGCTGTACAAACATTGAAAAATTATCAGTAACGTCATCATTAATAATCGTTTGCTACAAATAAAAATCAGATTCATTGCGAGAGTTAAAGGGTGTGCGTGCCAATGTCCTGTTTACTCTAGTCTGCTGAAGATTGAGTACCATTGTCCGGTATTCTCTACATTTATGTTTAGTCCAAATATCCTCGAATTGACTATCATTATACTAATAGCCAAATAAGTCCATTAAGCTAAATGCTAGTTTCACAAGGAAAAAAAACTTGGTTGATTGAATAAAGACATCGTTATTTTGCTTTGATTGTAAACTTGATTGCATTTTTTTTTAAAGAATGTGCATATAGAAGGCAATTCTTGCCACTTGAAGACCTCACTACCTTATCCGGTATAAAGCAACACCGCCCAAACTTGGACAATTTTCCGACTGAACTTAGACATTTAGGAAAGCTTAGACATTAGGACATTTAGGAAAAATATGTGGCTGACAGGAATCACTTACCCTTTTAAGTTTACCAGTTGTGAATGTTGGAGTAATGATGGTCCTTACTCTCTTCCAATCTTCACCCTCTAGACTTGGAAGCATATTGTCTCCGATTTTGTTACCAGTTATGAAAGACTGAAACATACATCATAATGAATAGTTTAAGGTATTAGGGAGCTTGGGTACAAATAAATGCAGGGCCCGTGCTAAGCATTCACCACCTCGCTAAATGCTATAAAATCGTAAGTTCGGCGAATAAAATTGTGATTTGGCAAAAGCTTTGGCGCATGATTTATTCCAATGAAAAGAAAAATATATATAAAAAATTGCTAAGATTTGAATTTGGCGAAGACTTTCGAAAATTGGCGAAATTTTGTGGAACAAAAATAAATTAAAACCATATTAAATAACTTTTGACAGACATATAATTTGTTATTGGAAATTCTATGATTAAAAAAACATCTTTATCATTGTATTTATTTATTTTTTTTACTTCGCCCCCAAACACTTTTCTAACTACGGTTTTAAACTAGCAAGATTATAGAAATTTTAATTCATTGAAACTACAGCACACAAATTTTATAACTTTAAAAAAAAATCATTAAATTGTCTTAAATTAACAATAAAGGTGATAATCACGAAATCGTTTTTGGAAATTAAATATAAACCATTTAAAAGTTTTAATTATTTTATAAATAAATGATATCTGCACTTGAGCTTTAAAAAAAAAGAAGTAAAATTATAAATTTAGGCTGGGCTCAAAAAGCATATGATTTAAATACATTTTTATTACAATATAAAATAATATTAAAATTCTTACTCTTCTGTTCGGGAAATTAGCAAAATCTTTGACAAGTATGTCTCTGAGAAGTTTTGGATCTGCTACTGACAGGGTAGGGCTGTTCACCTCATAAACACTGAAATCAATAAAATTGTCATAATTTATTACACATAAATTTGAAATATGAAAAAGCGTAGTTTTCTTTTTCTGCTGTTGTTATTATACAGGTTGCGACCAACAGTGGGACAAAAAAAGGACCACCCTGAATAACTTTTAATCTAATGATCCGATCTTCACGTTTTAGGACTCAATCTTAATGGTTCGAGGATGACCTCAAATATGTTAATAAATTAGTACAGACGATGTTTTAAGTTACGAAATTAAACACAAAAACGTAATTTCTCCGAATAAACATTTATTTTTTTTCGACGGATTCAAATTTCTAAACCCTAAAATGTAGGGGATAGCCGCAATCTGGGAGACATGGACCCCATAGTTTGGTCAGTAGAACGATCCAAAGTTTGGACCTCTTAATATTAATTATACTTTTTGCAAGTTTGGCCATATTCCAAGAACAAAATCTATGACTCTTTTAAAATTCAGTTTCTCAAGAACAAATCGACCGATGTCGCTCAAATTTTGTATCTTGCCATGTAAAATTACATACTTTAAAATGATGTTAAAAATTAAATACCTTACAATTCAAAAATTGTCCAACTATTATTAAATAAAATAATAAATATTTATTAATTCTTTTTTGTATGAAATTATATTTGGATTAACGAGTTTTATAATTGTGGGCAAATTTTTTTTAAATCGCTTAAAAAGTCGTGGAAAAACGGCGAAATAAGCAAAGAGTAAAATTAACATTAGGAGGTCCAAGATTTGGATTGCTCTTCTGACCAAGCCCTTATTTCTTAGATTGCGGCTGCCCCCTATATTTTCGGGGGCAGAAATCCGAATCCAACGAAGAAGGGTATGTTTATTCAGAGAAAGTACGTTTAAGTGTCAGATTTAACTTAAAACATCGTCTGTACTAATTAATTAGCGTATTTGAGGTCACCCTTTCGAATCATTGAGATAGAGACCTATAACGTGAAGATCCGATCATTAGATCAAATGTTTATTGTCGGTTTTATTTCAGGAGTTCCCTTGCCTTCTGGATTGGGTCCAAAATTACAAAGCTACGGAGTTGAACATTAGCAGTCGTAAACCCAAAAATTGGGTCGGTCGTTCGACGACGGTTATAAAATATAAAATAAAATATAGGTGGCACTTGACGTAAAAATATCCTCAGTGGTAGACGGATCATGGGTTAGAGTCCCATTGCCGTCAGCTTAACTGTGAGAGGTTTTCTTCGCCTTGTAACGTAAACGCGAGTTATTTCCTTCAAAAAAACCTCTAAGAGGACAAAGTTTCCCCCAATACTTGATCCAGGAGTTCTCTTGTCTTCTAGAACACTAGTCATAAATCCAAAATTGGGTCGGCTATTCAACGACGGTTTTAAAACAAAATATGGGTGGCCCTGTCATTGCAACGTAAAAATGTCATAAAATTGTTTAAAATAGAGGTAGTTGGAAAATGTGTGTTTGGTCCAAAAAAATAAAAATAGGCTTGTTAGGTATTAGGCTTTAAAAAAAAATCTATCAAGTGACACCAAATTCGTTGTGACCTTTGTTTAAGGGAGGGGTCGAATTTTGCAACATTGAATGCATAGTTTTTAAATATTTCTTAATGCGAAACGAAGTGGTTTTTAAGCTATTTGACTGTTTTTATACATTTTGAACATCCTGTATATCACCCACGTATAATCATATTCGACAAAAAGAAGGATACTAACGAATAATATGATTTAAATGAAATATTCGTTTGGGAAGTTTTTCTTTATTCATTTACCTAAGCAGCATTGAAATGATTTTGAAGTGAAATAACTTATGTCTATGATGCTTCACTTTTAATGATGATTTTACAAGCATGTAGAGGACAGGTTTCAGTAATTATACAAATATTAATTAAAAAAAGGGATTTTTACTTTAAAAAAAAGTTGATTTTAGTTTAATATGTGGTAGACGGATCGTGGGTTAGAGTCCCTTTGACGTCAGGTTAACTGTGAGAGGTTTTCTTCGTCATGTAAAGCAAATGCGGGTTAGTTTCATCAAAAAAAACTTTAAGTAAGCAAATTTTCTTCTTTAAGTAAGCAAAATGGCATAAAATTGTTTAAAATAGAAGTAGTTGGAAAATGTGTGTTTGGTCACAAAAAATAAAAATAGGCTTGTTAGGTATAAGGCTTTAAAAAAATCTATCTAGTGACACGAAATTCGATGTGACCTGGTTTAAGAGAGGGGTCAAATTTTGCAACATTGAATGCATAGTTTTTAAATATTTCGCAATGCGAAACGAAGTAGTTTTTAAGATATTTGACTAGTTTTATAAATTTTGCACATCCAGTATATCACCCACGTATAATCATATTTGACAACAAAAAAAAAGAATAGGAACTAACAATATGATTTAAGTAAAATATTAGTTTAGACAGTTCTTTCTTTATTCATTTACCTAAGCAGCAGTAAAAGGAATTTGAAGTAAAATAATTTATATCTATGATGTTTGACTTTTAATGATGATATTCAGTAATTAATCAGTCAGTAATAATTCATTAATTCAGTAATATTGTAATTAATATAAATATTAATTAAAACAAGGGCTTTTAACCTCAAAAAAATTTTGATTTTAATTTAATATGGTTCGCATAAAGCTCATATATTAGGATTTATATTAAAATTATAAGAATGTACGGTTCATATTATCTTATATTTTATTGCCAACTATTTAACTATACGAATAATTAAGGAATAGAAAAACAAAAAGCAACAGGTTTTTGATAAATAACGGGATATTTCTGCTTTTTTGGTCGGAGAAGGGAAACATATTTTTGATTGCCAACTTACATTTCAATTACCCACTTAGCCGTAAATGAATGGCCTATTTTTGAAAAAATTATATTTTATCTTTTCAAAACTTTACTCCACGAAAAGCTGATTCCGTATTTTTTCCTAACTTATAATTTTTCATTCAAAAATAAGCTTTATGAGCTGATTTTACAGTAAATAAAGATCTTTAATGCAATGAAAGTAAGCATTTTTTTAAATGTCACTTACCCATAAATCGGACCCAAAGTATTATATCTTTTGTAGTCCTGATCTTGAAAAGTCTGCAAATAAATGAATAAGTACATAAATAAAATGTTCTTTCATCATTCTCAGATTTATAATCATTTCATGTTTGCTTTCCAAAGTTCTTTCACCAAGGAAGACAAAATTAAAAGAACGTCAATTTAAGTACCTTTAACTCGAATAAAAGCCAACATTTTAAACTACGTATACCATTTTGCCCCAAGAATTATCTGGGCTTCATCATGGAAATGACAGATGATATAAATCATCAGAATTGAAATTGCATAGAAACCCACGCCTAAAAGGATCGTCATACGCAGCTAGGCACGCTTCCCCACACTTTTTCTGTCCTTCTGAACAGGTCATCCCTAGCGGCGTACGTTGACATTTCCGGGCACGGGTTCCTATGCAATTAGCGATGCTCCCTAACCTCTCCAGAAGTTTGTCGAAACATTTATACGACCCGCTGCTGTGTATGATTTTTTTAAGTTTGTACATTTCGGAGAAAAATATATTTAAAAAACAATCTGTAATTTAATTACAAAATAATTTCAGATTTACTCTCGAATTAGACAAGATCAAGTATCTGTATAAATGCAACAAACAATTTGCTCCCCAATGTAATCCGTCACTAATTTGTAAAGCGAGATGATATAAATTAAAACCAATTTGATTGTCTGTTGGATTCTAATAATTGCCTTTAAATCCTCTAGTTCATTTCATGAGTGATTCGATTTTTTTCCCCTTTCTCTTATATTAATTTGTGACGCAAAATGAGTAATGAGTTTAAGTATTAAGCCTTTATGTAGTAAGTATTGCGGAAAAATCTAAGGATGGTGTCGCAGTTTTCCATTGTTGTTAACCAATATCTGTATATATATCTCTCGTACACGGCGACAAAAAAATGCCTCATTACAACTCCCCGAATGGCAACGCTAGAAAATCGACCAAAGATTGCTGCTAAAAATGTCACATGCCAAATCTAGCTGAGATGGCTCAACGTATAGCGCTTTTAAAAACGGAAACTGAAATAACCAGAAAGAGCATAAGCTAGGCAGAAGTGAGTAGTCTTTGTCGATAGATCTCTATTTTAGTATTTTGTCGAAAGCGCTTTTTTTCACGAATTTATATATTACGAATTTATTTGACGATTTTTGATTTATATCACGAATTTATTTGTTTTACTAGAATTTATTTGTTTATGCAGGTTTTTCCATTGCAATTCACTTATTTCAATTTTTAATAGACTTAATTATAGCCAAAATTTTAACCTTTTTAAAGAGATATCAGTTTTAGAAATTTTATCTTAAGATTTTATACTATAGCACATTTCTAATAGGTTTAACGAATTACATGTCATTTATTTAAATTCAAATTTATTTTAATGACTTAGAATTTACTAAAAAGATTTAATTTTTTTTTTTTTTTTTTGGAGTTGTTTCATGGATTTGAATGATTGTTTTGAATTCTTAGAATTTTGTGCATTTGCAATGTACCTAAGTTAGTAGCGAGCGAAGCGAGATTGGTTTGCGAAGCAAAACATATAATATTGTGTAGCAATTTTCGGGGGTTGGCGAGCGTTAGCGAGAAGGGGCGCAGCCCACTAGTATAATTTATTGGCTGGAAAATCACATGGTAGGATCCAGTTTTCCCCTCATTTATTTTCATATTTTTTTAGGGGGTTGTCATCAGCATAAAGATATAAGTCATAAAGTTATTGTTTTCCAATAAATAATTTTGCTCCCCTAATTGGGTATAATATAAAAAAAACACAACTACTTCCACTTAGTAGGAATAACATTTACCATGACGCAATGCTAAATTCTATGCCACTATCCACATAAATGCCACTATCCACATAAATCAATTATTAATCAAAAATCGAATATCAATTACTTTTCTTTATAATGCAATAAAATCTGGCGAGCAGCTATTTAAACGATCAAACACTTCGTTTGTTTATTTGTGGCTTGAAGTTAGGCTCGCAGAAAATGCCGTTCATGGGTTAAATTTAGTAGGAATAACACAACCTGTGACGTAGGCTATAGAATACCCAATTTAAAGGTTAAAATCACCTGTACTGTTATTATTGCTTTTATGATTTTGTTTGATTTATAATTTAAGAGTTTTGGAAGAGTGCTTTTATTATTAGAATAATGTAATTCTATGTTACATTTTAAGTTAAAGTTACTTAAATCGGTGTCTGATCTTATTAACCGTTTTAAAATTATTATTTTTTTGGTGCAAATTACTTTAATATACTATTATGAATTAGGGTTAAAGAGATTTGTTAAATGATTTAGAACTTTCCGCTTCCCACACAAAGTGATGAATGTGTGGGGAGAGTCAACCGAATGTCAACCTTCATCCATGAAAAGGTACCCCAACATAGAATCGAGTTAACATGTCTTATATACTAGTGAATTTGAATTATATTTTTGTAGTGGTAGATACACTACAGTACTCCCGCACCAGAATTAAATCTGTGAATTCGATGAATGGATACCACTACAAGTTGATTCAATGCTGCTATGTGAGAAGCCGGGAGAGCTGTATTAAGATCACCGTACTTTCGAGTACTGATCGTGAGACCTGTATCAAGTTCACGGCCGTGGTCGTTCCTGTGTTGCCATTAGCAGTTGAGTGTATATACAGACCGACGCTGTGTATGATCGAAACTGAGTAGCAACAGCGCGAGGAGGACAATGTCGCAGTCACAAGTAGTTAATCAACTTTTGATTGTGAACCATCCATCGAAGTAGGCATGTTCAAATAGAAGTGCGTGTTTCTGCCGAGATAGGCGAGTTCACATCATGTCCGAAGGTAACCAATGTGAGAAGAGTTGTTATCGACCATATCAACCTTCATCTATGAAAAGGTACCCCACCATTATTTAAAATTCATCCGTCCGTTAAGTAAGCAAAATTACAGTTGTATTAATATTAAATTTCTGTTGTGAACTCACCAAATTTGTTATAACAATATACTTTTAATTTTAAATGTTATTTTAAAAAATTATTACTTAAAAAAATGATTTAGGTTTACTTATCGATCTTATCAGTATTATAATGGAAATATTTGGAAGTGGGAAGTGGAGGCACAATTCTTTTTAATACATAAATTTTCAGTTGAATAATTTCAACTGTTTTATGCCAAGAAACTGAAATTATTGCGAAGCAAACATCGGGGTTGGTGATCGTTAGCGTAACATTAGCCTCCTAGTACAACATTAAAAAAAGTAGAAATCATATCGACAATGAAGAGGACCAACATCAGTGGTTCTGTTCTTTAGCCAATGGGCGTATTATCATCAAAATTATCAAATATACCTTAGTCAGCCGTGATGGCTCTGGGGATAGAGCATTCGCCTTCCAATGAGGTGAAACGGGTTCAAATCCTAGCGATGGCTGGTCGGTTCGAATTCCACACTCGGCTTGCACCGACCACAGTACTGACGTAATATATCCTCAGTGGTAGACAGATCATGGGTTAGAGTCCCCTTTCCGTGAAGCTAACCGTGGGAGGTTTTCCTTTCCATGTAACGCAAATGCGGGTTAGTTCCAACAAAAAGTCCTCCACGGAGGCAAATTTCTCTCAATGATCGATCCAGGAGTTCGCTTGTTTTCTCGATTGGGTTCAAAACTACAAGGCTACGGGCGTTAAACATAGGTAGTCGTAAACCTAAAATTTTAGGTCGGCTGTTCAACGACGGTTATAAATGTTATACCTGATGATTTACTGAAACATGTTTATCTTTTAGTGGTTGCCATGCCACCAACGTCATATTGACGTAATATTCAAGTATAGAAGCAGTTTTTTTTTCTCGTTCGTATCACAGTGATTATTGACAGACTTTAAATAATCTGAGTTAATTAGACTTCCCATTTTAACCCCAAAGTTTTGTCTTGAACTCTCGCAACTTTTAAGAGTTTTTACATTGAACCTAAGAATTTTAACTATCTTCGTGATTTTATTTTTTACTATTTTAACATTTGATTTTAGTTCTGAAGTATTAAATTTTAATTGTTTACCCATTAAGATACCCACTTGATTCAACTTTAATTAGTTTTATTGCCATTTTGTGATTTTTTTAAATTTTAATTTGATGCACGATTTTTACATTTATATTATCATCCGTTTCATTCCTGATGTTTTGCATCGAATATATTTTTTTGGATTAAGATCTTCCTCTGTATACCCTATTTAAGTTGGGGGGTCTGAGTATCTTATACTTACCATTGTGACATTGTCCAAGAGAGATCCTAGGAATGGAAGTGGTTTGACATAGGGCACATTTCTCTCTTTCCAATAAGATTGCTTTTTCATGGAATACCTGTAAAACAGTGAATCATACTTATTATTATGATTGAAAGGAGTTTTCGATTTGTCACATTTACAACTAACATTGAACGAAGATTACGACAAAAAGAATGATAAACAATTATACAAAGACGACATATAAGAATGAATACATTCTTCCTCCGTCGTTGACCAACCCCCATGCAAAGAATATACATGAGAAAGAAGTCTGGTTTCCATAGCCATAATGTAAACCAGTCCTCCAACGTTGGATGCGGTCCCTGTATATAAAGGAGAAAACAGCATTTAGGGGGACAACAGCAGAGGTTCTTGAAACAGGTTTGCACCCTCTTCTCCTCCTAACCACCAGTGGGGTTAGAGTGAAAAGGAAAAGTTTTCTCTTTTTATTTATATGTCCCGCAGTGAACTGATCGTAAAGACACGGTTCCCAGTAGAACACCGAAGTCAAGCATCACTTGCAGTAATCGGGTGGGTGACCACTTTGATCAGCCTGCGTAGAGACAGAGGGTGCGCGGTATCGGTCGTCCTTAAATAGTTCTGCCGTGAAGTGCTCGACTTTGTGCGTAGGACGTTGGGCTACCAAAGCAGAGGATCAAAATTGCGATGGCATGTCATGTCGTCGGATCATCCTCAGGGATGTTTCCCAGACTGCCTCCAATAGCCCATTGTGCAGCTCTAGTGCCACGTAAATAAAGTACTTACCTATAGTGCGGCTTTGAGAAGAACTCCTACAGGCGAAAAGTCTGGGGCTGCCTGCAGCTATGGCAACAAGCGAGAGCACATTTTTAAAGGGGGTGAAATGGAGAAATGAAGGTGTCGATTGGTTTACTCACACTGACCTATGCAAAGATCACGACAAAACTATTCACCCCACACCACTATTCGAAGTTACCTTCCCTCGTAACCATGGTACGCCACGAAGCGAGACTGATGCCTGGAGCTCTCCTGAAAGCCGCACTATACCTATCTTTTTATTTATTGCTGACTTGTTCCACAATTTCACATTATTGATAAACACTGAACTATTAATTGAGATATTTCTTTAGGAATACATTTATATTATCCATGCTAATTAATACTGCTAACACATTTTGCCACAGAAGGAATAAAATGGCGGTTGAGGGGAGACAGAGACACTTTACTTCTTATACACATGCCCTGGATCTCTGTACATATGATGCTCGGCTAAATCTGAGTCTGCTGCACACCCTGTAAGTTGTTTTTCTGAAATAGAGTATCGAACCGAACTATTCCCATCTTTAGCTATGTAGTAGCTGAGCTGGACTTCTACTTTCTGCATTCTTTGCCATTCCTGCTTTGCTCATCAGATACTAAAACGTAATAGTACAGTACAGCAGTTTCCAAAAGGTGTTCCGCAGAAAAGTTACAGATGTTCTGTCCGAAATGTGGAACTTTTTTTTAAACTAGAAAAAGGTTTTTGAAACATGTAATTACATTTAGATTCTTTAAACTATAATCCATCATTTAATAATAATACGGTTATTTGTATAAATTCACTATTTATTGAAAATTACGAATTTTAGTAACATGCCAGTGAAAGAAACGAAATAGCAAAATTTAATAATACAGATATGTATTTATTTTTCTAATAAAATGCTATTGAATAAATAATGAAAAAAACATGTAATCTATATAAAAAAAAATTAACTTTTCTCCGCATAGCTTAGTAAAAATTTCAAGTTTTTAAGCTTTATAGTTTTTACTCAGCAAAACAAAGTGTGAACACAAAACAGAGCAGCGGCGACGCTAATAATTTTTTTTATTATATGGAGACATGAAAAATATTAAAATGAATAACATTTCGTGACTCTTTATCAATACATTTTCAACTTACCATAAAGCCAAGAGGAAAGTGGATACTCCTATTAAAAATGTAGCAAACAGAGGTCCGCTAAAAATTTCCATCAACGCCATTACTAAAATACCAAACACACAAGAACTCGCTGACCAAAATGATGCTTCGAAACTGTTTCAACCTTCAAGAAGAAATAACTAAATACAATAGCTGTCAAGGTTAGCACATATTATCGTAATGTGCGGCAATCATCATCCCCCTCTCTACTCTTACTACTTTTTTTGTGAAGTTTATGACGTAGCTTTGTTTATTATTATTTTTTTCCCTTTAGAATTGACAGTCATCTGAAAGAGGATAAGATTAAAAAAATGTAAGATAAAGAGAATGGATTTTTTTTAAAACTTGATAACGCAATTGTTCTTTTTGATACACTTTAGTTTACAAATAAAATCGATTATGTCATTAATGATTGAAGGATTAAGTAATTATCCCAACAAAAATATTAATCAGAAAAATATTAATCAACGAAACTGTTTTATTTTCTTTATCTCTATTCTACGTCCTGTTTAATTAATCAGGACGTAGTTTCATTTTATTTTGGCAACTAATTTCAATTGATGATGAAACTCTGAGTGCTGTTTTCTTCACAATCTTGTATTTTTGAACTTCGAAACAATATAAAAAGTAACATACGCAAAATAAAAATAAAAAATTAAAATTGACATTCACTTCATTTCAAAATAGGATGATATATATCTGTATTAAATTCACGGCCATGGTCACTCCTATGTTTCCANACAGAAATATATATGTTGTATATTGTTCCTGCGCAATATACAAGAACAACTTTAAGTACTCATATCTTGAGTAGTCTTTAGCGATTTTTTGTAATTTAAGAATAATAATTTTTTAATTAATTCTACATTGCTCCAAATATTTTGTTTAATTTAATTGAATATTTTTAAAGTCAACGTAAGACAAAAAGTTACTTTTTTTACAAAAATGCCCATATTTCCATAAATATTTAGGCGAAGCTAACTGAATTTTATGTAGTTATTAAAAATAACGAATCAAAGTAATTGAAACAAGTTTATATGCTTGATTTGTTAGGTATAAAGTGTTCAAAAATGGGCCCAACGCTTTACCAGCCTGGCTATCTCAGCCATTATCGAACAGAACCGTCAGATAGTTTAAAAATGTTGTTTAGAGCCGTGATGGCTCAGGGAATAAAGGGTTCGCTTTCCAATAAGGTGAACCGGGATGCGAGAATCCGAGCGCAGCAATTACTGCTGCGCTCGGATTCTCGCAAATTACAAATTCCGCATCCAGCTTGTATCGTCCACAGTGCTGACGTAAAATATCCTAAGTGGTAGACGGACCATGAGTTAGTCCCCTCACCATTAGGCTAAGCGTGGGAAGTTTTCGTGACTTTCCTCTTTATGTAACGCAAATGCTGGTTAGTTGTATTAAAAAGTCCTCCATGAAGGCTAATTTCTCCCACTACTTGATCCAGGAGTTCCCTTGTCTTCTTGATTGGGTTCAAACAACAAGGCTACGGAGTTGAACATTAGTAGTCGCAAGCCCGAAAATTGGATCGGCAGTTCAACGACGGTTATAAAATAAAATAAATATATCAAAAGTTATTAAACTCTTTTAAAAACCATCCAGATGGTGATATTTTTTCCCTTGCATAAAAATTATTAAAGTCCATGAATAACTCAATTTTCAAATTTTATGCAATTGGCTGATTTTATTTTAATGAGCCCAGATAATATAGCGGACTAACTTTTTAAATATTAAAAAATAAAAACACAAACTCTTTTAATTTTTATTAAACTGTGCTTTTTTTCATATGGACGATTGCCTCCTTTTTCTGAATTACATTGAGGGCGCCGGCTAAAAATTCGTTAAACTTGACCTTACAGACCTTTAGTTTATGAAACAGTAACCCATTACCACAATTCTTTTACGTAACTTATATTTCATTAAAGTTTGAAACATCTAGTCAAATCAAGTTACCTAGTTCTTTGACGGCTAATTAATTTACTGCACACATAGCTATTTTATTTTTAATTTTAAAGTATTTACGTGCTGTGGTGTCTAACTATGGAGATGTCTAATTGTTGATGTTTAATGTTTTTGCATGTCAACTGTAGATGTCTAACTGACGATAGAAATTAAATCAAATTATTATATAAATTTTATCAATTATTAAAAAGTTTGCGAAAGTTGAAAAGCTATGTGGCTGTATACAATCACAATTTTGGACCTTAAACTTATTTAATTTATCTATGTTTTCCCCTTTCTTTTAAATTTGAGAAGATTGAGTTCTCTGAAGCAATAATTTTCAAAGATATGAATGTGGCTGATCATTTACGAAAATGCTGATGAAATAAATGTTTTTAATTTAAAGAATACTAGGATTGCAGCAGTACTTTGGTGACATGAAAATGCAAGTATTACTTTAGAATAGAAATAATGTTCATTGATGTTAGTTTTACCAATTTTCATTGAATAAATAATGTTTTTGCATAACTTACTTGATGTTATTCAAATTCTGGGATTCGTTTAGTAAGGGGAGTAAGTAATATGGGTGACGCAGGCCCGAAGGACCTATAAACCAACTTAATCTGAAAACTTAATCGCTGCGAAGCAACCCTGCGATGCACCAGAAATCCAATTAATTCGCTGACTATCGAGCACTAGACCCCGAGTCCTGCACAATTAAAAGCACCACAACACTACGTCGATAAGTAGTAGAGGAAGAATCTGAAGAAATCTATTCGTTTAGTAATAAGGACTTCATCTAGAATTAATGGCCACCCGGAAACACATAAAATAAATTTTTTGATCAAAAGTTAGGAAATATAGGGTGTATCGTAGTTGAAACATATTCTTAATATATCCTTGACTGCTCGGGCCTTTCCAAGGAGGACTTATACGCTACTCCACTTCTTGTCATCGACTTTTTTGAGGGTCAACAACCTATTGGATCTTGTCTGACTCCGTCAGACAATTGGAGGATAAAGGAACAACAACATATTCTTAATAGAGTTGGGTACTAATTAGATGATTCGAATCACAGACTTTATTCGGTGATTCGAATCTAAAACTTGCAACTAATTCGAATCAATTTTTTTTAATGAAATAAATTTAAATTATTTCTTAAAGTCACTATCTGTAAAACAGGATCTCCAATAGCTGAGGCAGGAGAACCATTGAAAGTTTGTAAGAATCAGTATTCCGCCATATACAAGGAGCTTTTTAAAAAAATCGTAATATTCTTCACTTAACAACAAAATTTGTTTATTCATTATCAATTGAATTAAAAATATATAATTTTTATTAATTATTAGCAAAAGGAAAAAATATTATGTATTAGTAATTTTTTTTTTTAAAAATTTAAAAAAAGTGGTTAACTGCTTGGGTGATATACTTTTTTAAAAATGTAACGAATTTTAAACGAATAAATAATAAACTCTAAGTTAAAAATAATGAACAACACTTTATTATTAAAAAAATGAGCAACACGTTACATTTTATTTATTTACAAAACGTAGAAAATACACGAAAGTAATAGTACACGAATTGCACAGAGGGTGTTCCGTAATGCCCGCACCTCAATGCAAGTTTCTAAAATTTCTTGTCAAAAATGAAATCAATAAAGCATATGAATTCACTATTTAATATCTAAGAGAAAAAAAGTAATCGAAATCTAACCAATCACTACTACTGAAGAGCGTGAAACAAATTAATTAACAGAATAAAGAGAAAGGGAGTGAAGCATGCAGATGTTAAGGGGAATAATTACGAAACAGTCCTGCAAGCAAATGTTAATTTCTACTTCTTAAACACACCATAAATTTAGACGAACGTCGTAAAAAACAGGAAAATCTTATATAATACACGAACTCTTTTTATTTTCACAAAATATTTTGAGAACCATGCATATGATATCACTTCATAAGATAGTAATTAACATTTTTTCACAAAAACTAGTCAGCAATTAATAGCATTAAAAATTTTCTTGCAGATGGAACATTAAAACAACATCATCAGTAGGAATGAATTTTTAAGGCTTGAGTTGACAATCTTTTCTTATTTCCGTAGCCAGAAAAACATTTTTGGGATGAAGAAGAGCAAAGGAGTTGTGGGCAAACTTTATGGGTACCTGAAAATACAAATAGTTGTTTCACAAAAATAGATCGTAAGACAAAAGTATCGACGCAATCATATTTTTAAGCTGTAATTAGTTACTTACTCTTTGAACTGGGTTACTTCTTCAAAGGTTTCGAAATTGATATAAATAAATTAATTCATAGTTTAAAATAGTTATCTCATTAACGGTAAAACAGAGATGATGTAGTTTGACTGAGGTTACGCCACACTAAATAGATAAATGCACTATTAAGAGTAAGAATATCGAGTTGACTAAGGTATCAATATTTTATGTTTTGTACCCCGCATGAAATAGCTGATCGACCTAATTCTGAGTTTACGACTATCAATGCTCAACTCCATAGCCTTGTGATTTTGAACCGGCCCAGAATTCAAACTAGCCTTCATGGAGGACTTTTGATGGAACTAACCCGCATTTGTGTGATCAGAAATGTAAAGACTTCTGTAAAGCTTATAAACTAAACAGATAATTAAAAAAAAGTCGAAATTGCCGATTTTCAACCGGTGAGAACTTTGTTTTCCGAAGATTTCGGCGTCATATGAAATGATGCTTTTTTGCGAATAACATGCTATTTTCATAAGTGCTGTGAGTTTGAAACAGTTAATCATGATTGTTAAGACAAGTTCAGCCTATTTAAAGCTAGCGCTGTCTGTGCTTAATTCTGAAAAATGTGCAAAAAATCAATTTGGAAAAAATCCGCAGTTTTGTGGAAATGAAAAGTGCTTGTGATCTAATATTTTAATATTTAAAAACTTGTTGTATTATCTGGGCGCATATAAATTTGCAAAAACTAAGAATGAGGTAGAGATTTTAATAATTTTTATTTAGGTGGAAAGACGTCTCCAAATTCGCAATTTTTAAAAAACTATTCGTTCGTTCTAAAGCCCAGATAATTCTTCTCGGCAAGATCATACATACAGTTTAAAATCGTAGTTTTGTTTCAAGGTGTCAGGCACTTTAACTGTGCCAAGAACCGAAACACAATGTAAATTCATTATTTGCGATCACGTAAGAAGAATGAGTGAATAAAAGAGTACTCACTGGTGTCTTATCACATGGCTTAGTCTTAAAGCAGCTGATAATATATACGAGGCAGACTTTGGCTTCAAGCAGAGCGAATCTCATGCCGACACAATTTCTCGGACCATGTCCGAAGGGTAGATACACGTAGGCGTCTCTTTTAGCTATCTCTTTAGCTGAAAATCTGAAATATTAAGTATACAAAACATTATAGTTTGCATTATCTATTAAAATAATGTGTCATAAAGTGGCAGAGGATGCCTTAATTTCTTTCAAACTACAAATTTCAACAATTTCTTGCAACTACATTTGTAAAAACTAAACATATAGTGGCGGGGGGGGGGACAAATTTCAGATAAATCAAGCATTAACAACGAAGTTTAAAATGTTAAATTGCTTTTTAAAATATCAAATTACAATTATCAAACTGCAATGAGAGAAAAACATCAGCGTTTGAAGTTTCATATTTTTTTTTCGGTTTATATAAACATAACTTTTTCTATACTTAAAAAATTAAATCACTAATGTAGATTAATTTTTTAAGAAATTAATTTACATTAGTGATTTAAATTGAGCAGATAAGAGGAAAGAGAATTTGTTATCAATGTTTTCTCTCGTGGTATAGCGTTCTCTGAGAAGGCTATACCACGGGCGAAACTTTCATTGTAAATTCTCTTTCACATCACTAAGAAATTTTAAACTAAAAGTATAAAGAAAAGCAAGTTCAAGCACACCTAGTGTAAGCCATGAAGTTTTAAATATTAAAAAAAAATTTAAAAATTTATGAGACTATAAACTATAACTTAGGATTACGTAACTGGGAATTTTTCTTCACATAATTTGTTTGCATTTTGTTATTTTGAAATTTCTTTTTCAGCAATGGCAAGCAACGTAGTGTGGGTATGTCGATCCTGATTGTTTGTTGAAACGTAGCATTTGTTTACGCTTGCAACTTTCCTTCTATTTCAATTAAGCCAAGCCCGTCGAGTATCAATTCTCATACGTGACACATTCTATATTCTTACACAAAGATTATTACACAAGGATTTCAATTCGTTCACTATATACTTCTTACTTAACACAAAGACAGACATGAAGCCATGTAAAACATAAATAAACTAATTATGCATCAGAGTTGTGGCGTAACTACCACTACAAATATTAAATACCAAATCACTAGTATATAAGACATGTTAACTTGAATCCATCATGAGGTACCTTTTGATAGATGAAGGTTGGCATAGTCTATAAATAAATCCCTACATTGGTGACCCGGACGTGATATGAACTTGCCAATATTGATGGATGAGCCACATTAAGCAGTTGATTTGCTTAAAAAAACTGCTCAAAGAAAAGAAAAAAAAAGATTCGGTGAAGTAAATAAAGTCTCCCGGTAATAAACAATATAGAAGAAAAAAATGAGCGAAATGTTATAAACAAAAAAAAATGAAGGAAAAAAATGAGCGAAATACTACATACAAAAAAATGAGCGAAATGCTATAAGCAAAAAAATGAAGAAAAAATATAATGAGCAAAAATGATATAAATAACTAAACAGCATGAATCAACTAGTGGGTAATCGTTCATCGAATTCTATCTCAGATAAAATTCTGGAATAGGAGTAATATGGCGTAAATACCACTACAAATATTAAATACCAAATCACTAGTATATAAGACATGCTAACTTGAATCCATCTTGAGGTACCTTTTGATAGTTGAAGGTTGGCATCAGGGCCGTTTTATCCATTAGGCACTGTAGGCAACTGCCTAGGGGCCCTGTGCTACAGAGAAAAAAATTGACAATGTTTCTTAAACAGTAAAAATTTAATTCGAAATTTCAATGACGATTGTCTTGCTCTGTACATTACATCGACGCTATTTTAGTACATTTCTGAAAGCATTCCAAATTAGATATTAATATTATGGTAGTTAGTTCATACATAACGCAGTAATATAATCGCAAGCAATTTTATCGCGGTAATTTTAACGCCGACTAATCAGATGACTATACAGCAAGAGCAGCTTTTTTAACACAACACGCTTGAAAAACGCGCAAAATTCTTCATTGTGAATGCACACTTACTGTTCTGGTACCTACCATAGGTATGTATATTCTATGGCCAAGCTACCAAAGAGTATCTAAAAATAAGGTTGGCAGTACTAGTTCTTTCGTCGCATGACTGGGGAATTCACCGATCCGCTAAATACATACGTTGTATTGTGTCATAGACAACATTTTTGAAACATTTTTAATGTAATCGTTGAGTTTACACTTCAGGTTGTCTTGAACGATTTTGTAACAAAAAAAGTTAGAAGAGTTAATATTTAAGCTTATTGTATGATTATTTTTAAATGCATATATTAATTACTTATATTCTTTTCGTTTGATTCAATATTTTTATTGAATAATGTGATTGATAATATACCTATGTAGTAAAAAACAGCGTAATTATGAATAAAGTGTTGTGTTAGCGAAAAAATATATTTGGAAGTTCGAAGACGGTGGGGGGGGGCGAGACGAGCATTGCCTAGGGGCCGCGACATGCATAAGCCGGCCCTGGTTGACATAGTCTATAAATAAACCCCTACAAAGTTGCCAGGTACACAAAACAAAAATCTATCATGGTTACAATAAAATCCATAGACAAATAATAAATCTAAGTTAAGTAAAATATGTTTAAAGGTGTTAAGTACTTTCTATGAAAGCTGAAAGCTAACTTTTTTATTTCTTTTAAAACTACCGAGTTGCCATGGCAACGTTATTCTTCTTTTTGTGGAACAAAACTGATCGTCTTAAAATAATTGGGTATAATATGAAAAAAACACAACTACTTCGATTTAGTAGGAACAACATATGACGCAATGCTAAACGAATGGAATTTAGTTGTTGTTTATTTAGTTATTGTTATTAGTAGTTGTTGTTATTTGTTTTAGTTGTTGTTGTTTATTTATTTGTATTTAGTTTCAATAACTTTTCTTTATAATGCAATAAAATCTGGCGAGCAGCTATTTAAACGATCGAACACTTCGTTTGTTTATTTGTGGCTTGAAGTTAGGCTCGCAGAAAATGCCGTTCATGGGTTAAATTTAGTAGGAACAACGTAGGCTATATTATACCCAATTATGTAAATAAAAATGTTGTTATTTTTTACTAAAGTTGGAGTCATATTTATTATTTAGTGTAGAAGAAGAGAACGACAGAATATTTTACTTTCTGATAGAGTCTCGTAACAAAAGACGAAGATAAAGAAGAATTATATTTCAACAAGTTTGATGAGCAATACGGCGCTGTATTTAATCAACTTTTTTTTGCAGAAGATACAACTGGTAGCCTGGAAGTGGAGCTCGCTTATGTGAGGTAAATACTCATTTATTTATTATTTATTAGATTTATTTACTTAAATATGTAGTATATAAACGATATGAAGAAGTTAGAATTTGTTTTTAATTGTTTGTTTTCGTCTATTTAAAAAAAAATAAGCGAATAACTTGCATGGTCACTTGAATTGTACAGTTTTAACTATGTACCAAACGTAAGAATTTTCATTGAAAATTGCATTTATTAAGTATGTATTTAAAATATGACTTTTAAACAACATTTATTGATTTATTTAACAATTTTAAGTGTTTATGTGCAATAAAACTAATAAATAAAGGCAAGAAATTGGCTGACTAAGCATTCACCAAACTTATTTCTGAATCGCCAAGTTTTGTATTCACTTTTAAGTATTTCTTTTTGTTAAAAACAAATATTTACTGTTTTTTATTGCATTCCTTTTTATTTCATTAAGATCAAGTAATTACTTTCTTAATCTTGGCTCATTTAAGTTTATTTTTTTGTTATTTATGGTAATATATCGCCTGAAGTTCAAACGATTTGTATACATTTATCGTAAGAAATCTATTTAACCTGCGATTTTTCATGTATTTTTGGATTTGTCAATGTTTTTTTCCTTTAAAATTCTTGGGTTAAATTGCTGAAATAATTAGTTTCTGCGTTAGAAAATTTCAATTTTTTAATGTCATTTAATTTAAGTATGAAGTTAATAAAAAAAATTTATTATATGCTTGAACTCACTTTTTCTACACTTATCAATTTAAATTAGTATGGTGGTGAAAAAGAATTTGCAATGAAAATTTTCTCCGTTCTCAAAAGAGACAGGGGAAAAACCTTTCGAGGCAGATTTTTTTCACCTATATAACTAGTTTAAGAGTAGAAGTTTAGAAAAAAATAGGTATACTGGCAAACCAAGCGAAAACTATTAGGTTTCAAGTGCTGAAAATTTCTTTACAAACTATCAAAATACAAATAAATTATGGCAAAAATGCTTAGATTTACCTCGTGGGGAATTTATTCCACAATAATATGTTTACATTTCCATAATTTGTAAACATTTTTTTGAGCAATTTCATGGTTAATTCTAAATTTCCCTTATTCCACTTTTCTTGACATCAAATGTTATGTTACCAAGGAAGGTGATACATAATTTGTTATACAAAGTTTCGCCGCGGTATAGCTTTCTCTTAAAGGCAAAAGTAAGGAAGTTACTGCAATGAGATGAAAGAATTAATCCAGGGCCCACACTAAGGATTTCAAATTATTAGCCAGTAAGTTAGCCAAAAATCTTAAGTATTCGCCCATTTTAGAAAGCCTTCGCCAAATGCAAATAACAAATTTTTATGATTAATTTGTTTCCCATTAAAAACTGTTAAACTAAAGTTTGTTTCAGGCTTATATTATTTGGAACCAATTCTAATTGGCTAAGCGGCCACATCTACCGAAAATTACTTTAATCGAATAAAAAATGCTGATTTATTTAGAAATATTCATTTTGATGATCGATTTAAATATATTCTTATCTTCCCATTGAAAAAATCATTCGCCAATACTTTCGCTAAATTTACGATTTTATCACATTTGGTGAAGTAGCGAATGCTTAGAGTGGGACCTGTTAATCTCATACCCCTGATTGATTTTCAAGCGAAGACAAAAAAGATTTCGTCATTATTTAATGTCTTCGCTTTAAAAAGAACTACATTTTTTTTTTAAAAGTTATTATTATTTTTTTTTTTAAATATTTACTAAATGGTGTCGTTTCTTTGAGAAACCAACTAAAATCAAAGCTCAATTTCATTAAAACTAAAATTCATTTTAACAAAATTCTTATTAAACCTGTGTTCCTCTATGGCAGCAACTGCTGACCTTTAAATAAAACCGAGGAAAATTAACTACTCGCTAATACTCTAATATTTGAAAGAAAAATACTCAGAGCCATCTTCGGAACTGCTAAAGAAAACACAGTGTTATCCAGATTCAGAAAAATTATGAATTACGAAGAAAACTTAAGCAACCAAACATAATTCCGGTTAATAAATCCTATAAAATAAGATGGCTGGGTCACATCTATAGAGGGGATAATGGTTACACAGTTGAGAGGCTGAACTTTTGGAAACTTTATTGGCAACCTAAGACCACTAGATGGATTGATTCTGTGAGATCTAACCTTGGAAATCAATAAACGTAGTGTCTGATCAAGCCAGGAGGAGACGACTAATTGGGAAAACCTATGCCCTCTACTAGATTGTCATGCTGATGGACGAAAAATTACAATTTTAAAATATTTTTATAAAATTCTTTTAAACTATTATTTTTAATAAACAATTTTAATTATTTTAATCATTATTTTGAATTAATTTTTTTAAATTAAGTAATTATTTTTAATTTCTATTTTGATGTATTTTAGTTATTATCTCGAATTATTGTTTTTAAAAGTAATAATTATTATATTTTAATAACTATCTTAAAAGTTTTAATCATTTTAAAAACCTTGGGAATCGAAAAAATGTAGTATCTGATCAAGCCAGAAAATTGGGAAAACTATGGGCTGTACTAGACTGTCATGCTGATGGAAAAAAAATTTCAAATATTTTTATAAAATTCTTTTAATCTATTATTTTCAATCATCAATTTTATGTATTTTAATCATTATTTTGAAATATTTTTCTTAAATTAAATCATTATTTTTAATTTTTATTTTAATATATTTTAGTTATTGTCTCGAATTATTGTTTTTAAAAAAATAATTTTCATTTTTTAATAACTATCTTAAAATTTTTAATCATTTTAAATAGAACTTACTAATGAGAAAAAATTTACTAAATAAAACAACACTGGCTGAAAAATTCACTAAATAAAGCAACAAAAGGAGGAAATGATATTAAAAACGATATAAAGAAATTAACAGAAAATATCTTTATAAAATAATTTAAAAAGTTTAGAAACTGCAAGTAAAATAAATTAAAGGTATAAAAATTGTTACCTATCTGGATCGAATTTCTCCGGATTTGGATAATATTTTGGATCCCGGTGGAGAACAAATATAGGAATGCCTACAATCATGTCTTTTTCCAAAATAATACCGGTGTCGCCCAGTTTATATTCTGATGCAACCTTTCTTTCAGTTCTAGGGGAAGAAAAAAAAAGCTATTTAATTTTCGTCTATAAGCTAATACAATACATGCTATACCAATCAATAACATCATCCAATTCACGTTGATTATAGATCCGGTCCGGTGTTCGATCCTCGACTCCGTTAAGACCCACCGAGTACATACGATATATGTCCTCGTAAAATATGCTTAATCGAAAATCATATAGTTTGTCTCAGTACCATGTGTAAATTCAAGAATGGGCTCTCGTTTCAAACAATAAAAGAATTTTATTTTTTTACATTAGGCTCACATCTGCCTTCATTGAATTCTGAAATCAATCTGAGTTATATTTTCATTATAAGGCGCCATCTAGTGGCTCTGAATTACATTTTCATTATAAGACGCCATCTAGTGTCTGATCATTTTATCAGATTCTACACCAAGGGCACAGGAATCTGGAGAAAATTTCCTTTCCATTCAGATTTATGCCTAAATTGAGGAAACGGCCTCGTGAATGAGTAGTGCTGCCATCTATCAGTGGGATCTGAGCTAAGGTTTACTTTCACCTTTGCTGTGCTCCCTTGCGAAACGAAAGGCTCACCTTTCTGACTTAAGTCGGAAGATGGAAGTTTATCATACAAATTTATGCACAGAAAATAATAAACGAGAGTGATTGAATTACAGAAATCATTCAGGGCTCATTGTTTTCCACATAAATTTTTCACGTTTAATGCTACAGTAATGGGACTTCTTTTACCTATAACCTGCCGTCTGGGAATAAATAAATGGAAAAAATTATAATAAATCAATTAGTATTATCTTTTTTCTTTTAACCATTAAATTTTCCCAGTATTATCTGAGCTATCTTAGCACTAAATAATTTAACAAGGATATAAAAATATCGAATTATGGAGCAAATATGGAGCAATTTTTTTAAAAACAAACTTAAATTAACAACTACACAAAACTAAAAATCTAATCATCTGCTGTACTAATCGTCTACAAAGAGAGCTACAAGCCTAGCATAGGACGAGAAGAACGAATTTACTTACCTCACTGCTGGCGGATAGAGTCTTAAAGTCTCTGAAATGATGTTATCTAAATATTTCATGTTGTGTAAAGCTTCGTATGTCAATTCACCCTGTATTTAAATAAAATATGCAGGTTTACAGCATAATTAACAACATTTAAATGAAATAGTAGGTTTAAAAACAGCTATGTTTTTAATGCTATTAGATTTTTAAATAATTTTAAGCCAGCACGAAAGAATGACTTAGACCAGTGGTCGGCAAACTTATTAGTCAAGGAGCCAAATATGAACATTACAACAATTTTTAAAAAAATTGGGAGCCAAATCTGCTTGTTTAGTAAACTTTTATTGGACTAAATAAGTAGTACACTAATTAAAACTAAATTTCATACTTAATAAATATTTATTAATGCGAACAATGTGCTTGCATCTCCTTGGAAAGTTTGAGTAAGTCAGGTTTGTATGTTGTTGTTAATTTTAAGCCAATTTGTACCCCCACTACTTTAGAAAAAGTATGCGCGCATGCTTGTGGTACCTTTGTATCACACCGGAGTACGCCGAAAACATACGAACAATTTAAGCCTGTAGCTTGTACATAGTTTGTGTTTACGTTTACGAAAACTAATAAACTTTGACTCGATGTTCGCTACGTATTTTTACAACAATATAAAATTTTAATTACCTATCTGTCTTTTAACTTAAACAAAAAATTATACATGCTCTCGATTTACAGAGGAATTTTAATTTATCAAAATAAGATGTAATTTTTTTTCTTA